TTATTCAAATGACTTGATTATCATTAATAAACCAAAATTAAATAATATGAAACCCTACATTTAAGATACATATAATTTGTTTGTTAATTATTTGTTGATAGGAGGAGCCATGTCTACCCTACATACTTATGTTTTTTATGATGAATAATTTGAGACCTCGAAAAGTACCTACCCATAATTAGCGGTCCCATCCCTTAATGAATCCCGAAAACCCCTCTGCAGTGCATTAAAAACGCACTTTCATTCTCTCTGTCACCTTGCCAAGTGTCACGGTGGAAGGTTCTGAAATCAGTATTGGAAGCCAGGTGTCAGTAGGGGAGAGTGTGTTCGTTTGAATTGGAAAGAAAACTGATTTTCTGAAAAACCTTATCCTCATTAACGCATACACCTTTCTTCTTCCTCTGAATCAAACCTTGCATTTTTCTTCTCCTTCTCTCTAGAACCCTTTCATCTTCTCTCTACTGTAACTCATCGTCTACTTCTCCGATCAACTTTCAGAGACCGTGGAAACGTTCCCTGAGACGTGAGCGTCGTTCTGGACCGAACAGAACTGAGATCTGAGCTGGTAAGTTCTCGTCTCTGATCGTTCGTCTATTTGATTCATGCGAACCAAGTTCTGGTTGCATGCATGGGTTATAGGTCTGAGTTGTTTATGATTTTTGGTGTCTTAGATTAAGTGAAAGTTGTTGAGTGACTCATTGGATAGAAAGCTGTAAGAGGACGAACAAAACCCTTGCATTAGGACGTTCACTACTGAACCAGGTAAGGGAAGCTTAGTAATTTAATTGATACTTGTATGATTGTGTGTGAAAGCATGAAGTGAACTGGATGTATGAAATGCATGTTGTTTAAGTATGCATGAACGAACACTGTTGTACTGAATGTATATGGTTGATATTATTTGAACTGTATGTTGATGATGAAACGTATGAATTGGAAAATGGATGATTTAGGTAGAGTATGAGATGATAACATGAATTCTATAAAGTATATGATTTATGAATGATAGGAAATTAGAAGATATGATTCGTATGAGAAATGTTGAGTAAGATAGATGAAAAATCTGAAAAAAAAAATGATATTCCTTACCTTGATAAAGTACGCTCGTCATCGAACGGTCTTATACCGTTCGGCTTTTTAATAAATGGCTAAATGGAATTCTTTCATTTGGAAAGAACTCCGCTCGAGAACGAGCGTCCTCTTGTGAAAGGCTAGGTTTGAGCGTTCGACTCAACCTAGTGGTACCAAACGATAGTAAATTAATTGAAGTTATATTAGTAACGCTAGGTTTTATATCCAGCGTTCGTTATAGGTAGCGTTTAGTCTTATACTAAGCGTTCGTCCAAATCGGTGTTCGGTCTTATACAGAGCGTTCGTTCTAATTAGTGCTCGATCATCTACCTAGCGTTCGTCCTAAGTAGTGTTCGGTTTTATACTGAACGCTCGTCTTTACCTTTGATTTCTGAACGGACGTAAATAGCGTTCGTCCAAATTGTATAAATGGTGTTCGGTCATTGACTGACAGTCGATCTACCCTAACTAAATTTGCTCTTGGTACATTTAATACTAGTCTTTTGTATTTCTATCCAGTGGGTTTTGACCTTGAATATTGGTACTTAATTTATTCTAAGTATAAATCGAATCGTTCTAGAGTAAGTTCATTTAACTGAATCAAATTGACATGTCACTCGTCATGAAAAGTGTGTCAACTTTATTCTTTCGGAAAAGAGAACCTTTTAATCTCGCTTTTAACGTTCGTCCTCAATATGAAGAGGATTGAACGCTCGTCATTTTATGAAAGTGGAACTAAGAATGAAAATGTGATTTAGAGGAGATATTATGATGTGCGAACAGTATAAGAAATGAAACTATGATTATGGATTTTGAACGAGCGTTCCAAGGAGGAACGACTCTATGATTTGAATATGAGAAGTAGTGTAGTATGACCATGGTAAAGCTGCTGATGGCTGTTCATCCTGATGTTCCGTGAGTGCTCGTCCTCATGTAGAGGGGAGTAGGTCATGTGTGGGAACGGCAGGAGGTCCTAGTCCTAATGAGTACTTTGGACTGATAGGGCTAACCTCGGGTGGCAGCTGTTGAGTGTTTTCCAGTTATCACATCACCCGAGTGCACGAACGCCTGTAGATACATGGATTCATACAGTCCGGACGGTCGGTCTAGTGAGAGCTTGAATGATTAATTCTATGCTGATAAATTGTTGTATGTCTTGTATGTTTAGTTGTACATGTTAAATTGTATGATGGTTGTATGAATTAAATTACCTAAGCTTACCCTTGCGTTTCCTTGTGTTGTCTACTGTTTATGTACGTCCGTCTTGTCCATGCAATGATCATCCGTGTGGATGTGAGCAGATGGAGACACTCTTTTGGAAGAAGTGATTGAAGAAGAGAACCTGGTGGACGTCGAAGTGAAGGCCGAGACTTAGATCGTCCAGTAGGTTTAGCTTAATTAGAATTTTGGGACGTTCGGTTATTAGCTTTTGTAAAACCGTTCGTTTTGGACCTTGGTTATTCCTGTATTAATTTTTGAACCGTGTATCTGTTTACCGTTCGGCTTTTATTGGCTGATTTATTTAAGACTGCACTGTTTAATCATGTAAATGTGATTAGTTCTAATTTATGGTAATTACTATATTTTGGGATGTTACAAATAAAATAATGTTTTATAGTTTCTTGCACAATAAATGACATAATTTATTTATTCTTATTGTGTTTGTGCTTGAAATGCTTGATGTATGCATTCATTGTTTGTAAATGAATCATAAGTTTAAACAGATTGCACATTATATTTCTGGTAGAAATAATTCATTAGACATAGTATATAATCTGTTAGATTTTTCTAGATATCATGTTTTTCTTAACAGAGACAAAACAATTGAGTAGTAATTGAATGCATTAGTTGATAATATATTAAAACATGTTGTTATGCCAATATGTGTTTGATAAGTGCATTGATCTGTTTGGAATGAAAATTCATTAGAAATTTGCTTAAGTGTTGAACTTAACCGATTACATAAGTTTCCTAATCGGTTAAATATGTTTATCTTGTGAAAATCAATTTCATCTAAAGTCTTAATTGTCTATAACGATCATATGAATTTATTGTTGGCTTGTATGAATTACATAATCGATTGCATGCACTGTATAATTTGTTAAATCTTAAACAGATGTAAAACTATTAAAGCAGGAAAAAAAAGCTTAACAAATTACATTAATTGGTAATCGATTAAAGTGCGTCAGGATTCAAAAATCCTATAAATAAGACATTGTTTTAATACAATCTTGTGTACTATCAATTTCATAACTAATGTTGGAAGTCCCACATCGACTAGAGATAAGACCAATTTATAATATATAAGTGGGTGCAAACATCACCTTACAAGGCAGTTTTGTGAGACTAAGTAATGCTTAAAGTCCACTTCTTTAACATGATATCAGAGCTATGGTTAGAGTCTATCCTAGCGATATTTGTTGTTTGTTGGACATGTTGTTCCACCAGCTATCATGTTAAAGAAGTGGACTTTAAGCCTAACTCAGCCCCATAAAACTGACTTGTAAGGTGAGGTTTATACCCACTTATATATTATAAATTGGCCTTATCTCTAGTCAATGTGGGACTTCCAACAACTAACATTTTGATCGAGTGTTGATTGCAGAAGCGTTTAAGAACAGTATTGAAGAATCAAAGATCAAATTTGGGTTTATACATCAAGATTAATCCAAGAAATCTAAGTTGAAGTGTTCTGATCAATTCTGCACTAATGGTGTACTGTTGTGAAGATCAAATTCACCATTTGCAATCAGTGGATTGTGTTCCTGTGCAGGTTTCTTAGGGGGGAGAACCTTGGTGTTCTTCATTGAGAGTTGGGATTTCACTAAGGTGTTTAGAGAGCTAGTATTGTTCTCTGTTTTTGTAAGATTGTGAGTGTGTTCATATCTTGTTATTATAAATGATTTTTGAGTCGGGTGAGAAGTACATTGAGAAGGTATATCTCTGTATTCTTGTAATTCAATCATTATAGTGGAATTTCTTCAACTAAAATTATTGAAGGAAAACTAAATATATAAGCTTGGTTGAACTAGTATATATCGTTGCGTTGATCTTTCACTCCTTTCAGTTTTATTATTGATTCATCGTACTTGTTTTTATTGATTTGAAGAAAACAAAATATTTTACACAGCTTTTGAAAAAACAATTTTTAAGGCAAAATTCAATTCACCATCTCTTACTTTGAAATTCTTAATATAAGGCTTCACTTTTCTAACATTATTAAATAATTTTAAATATATATTACATCATACTTAAATATCATAAACCTTGTGTTCCGTTTTTTATTTTTAATTCAAATCAAAGCTAACAGTTTAGTTGACAAAAAAAATGAAAATCTAAAAAATATAATTTTAATCAATTTTAATGATTTTTTAATAAAGATTGACTTTATATTATTTGAATGATCTTTATAATATTTTAAGTTTCTTTGTAAATGATCATTGAAATATTATCAAAATATTCTGTGGTTAAATTATTGAAATATAATATACTCTGGGGGCTTATTATTCAAAAAAGAAATTCGAAAAGAAAATTACTTCTTGAAATAATTTGATTCCCACTCGTATAGAAAGAAAAGGGGCTAAAATAATGAAGCAGATGAATAACTTGGGTGGCTGAGTCTTGTGACGCTTTAATCTGCTATTGTAAACTGTGACCTAATATTCATAAAATTCAGCCACCCACACTCTTGGACCTTGAAATCTAACCACCACTTTTGCTATATTCATACTTTTGTTTGCGTATTTTAGTGAACTCTTCAATTTTTGGCCTTTTATTGTGCCTCAAATGTTTGATGAAAGCCCTGAGCGAGAGTTCTGTGCATTGGCAGTGTATTATTCAAGGACTTTCCTAGCCATAGAATACCCACAGAACTACCTCAAAAATCAGAGAGGCACGTGGTTGCTTTCTCTCATTGTATTTTTCCACCCTTGGGTTTAATTTCCGTGTGCAGGTGCATACAAAATAGAACAAAGAATGAAGGGAACAATCAGAGAGGTACGTACATGTATGTAATCTGAACAAATAATAAAGGGAACAAAAGAAACAGATGTGCATATTTTCATCCTGAATGTGAATGAGAAGAATATGAATCTAGATAAGTTGATGTTGAAATGGGAGGTGATGGGAAACATGTACACCTGGGATCATGGATTACCTTCTTGTTACTGATATGAAGCTTGGAGCATAAGGCGCAGTACTGCCCACGAAACCTTTGATGGACTAAGTTATTATGCATCTCATTGTAATCATAACTCTCTTTCATATCTGGGTGGCTTTCCTTAGTATCTTCCTCTGTATCATCATCGTCATCATCATCAATGGGTATCCAAGTCAAACCAAACACTGGAAGAATGATGAGGAGAGCTTTATCGATTTTGTGGTTGCTCCATTTTTTCAGTCTCTCCATAAATAATGATGGAGCCACGACCATTCCTGCTCCAACCCCAAAACCCAATCCAATTGATACAAATATCCAGTCAAATTTAACACCAGAATCTGTATATACTTCAGATTTTGAATTGCGCCGATCATGGCACAGTTTCGAAGAAGGACTTCCACATAAATCTGCATTACCAGCATAGGAAGATGCATCAAACGTTTGAAGCTGGGTACCTGCAGGGATTTTCCCTTCCAGATAATTATAGGAAAGGTTTAGGTATGAGAGGAAATTTAAACTTGCAACCTGTGTTGGAATTTCTCCATGCAAATGGTTGCATGACAGGTCCAATGACTCGAGCTCTTTTAAATTACCTATAGATGAAGGAATTTGGCCTGTTAAACCATTATGAGACAAGTTGAGGGCAAAAAGTCCAGTAAATTCCATAAGATCTTCAGGTATTGTTCCACTAAATTTGTTGGATGAGAAGTCAACAGATATGACGAGAGTTAGGACTTTAACAAACTCCAACTCCAAACCTTTGATTGTAAGTGTCACAGAATCCTGATAATATATACCACCAAATGGAAGGACCGCAGATCCTATGTGATTGAACTTTGATGCATCATGATATTCATCAAGCTTCATTGCCTTCAATGTTTTGAAACATTTTCCTGGAAGTAAACCACTAAATTTGTTGAAAGCCACATCAAAAATTTGAAGCATTGGCCAAGTACTGTTATCAGTACATTCAATGTGACCATGAAATTTGTTTCCCCTCAAAACCAGAACACGGATTGTGGATATTGAATTTAGGAAGTATGGAAATCCATCATCTACCTCATTGTTTCCAAGATCCAACACCTCTAATGATGAGCAATTTTGTAGTGATTTAGGAATTGGCCCCTTCAATAGATTACTATTGAGATCCAGAGTCTTCAGAGCACAAGATACTGGAAATTTATCTGGAATGCTGCCATTAAACTTGTTATGTTGCAGATTTAATACCGTAATTGTCACACTCTGTATTAAGCACTCTGGAATTGTCCAAGCGAAGTTATTATAAGAAACATCAAGAACTTTTAGCTGTGAACTATTGCACAAGAATTGAGGAATACTCCCAGATAAATTATTTTTGGACAGAGACAGAAAAACTATGGAAGACAGGCGAGTACCAACATCCGACGGAATAGCGAAACTGAAATTATTATTTGAATAGTCCAAATAAACGGCATGCACTGGAAATATTTGAAGCTTCCCTTGGAGTTGGTTAGCATGAAGGTCAAGGAGCTTCAGTTTGGAACCAGTGTTCTGAACAGATCCTTCTAAACTGCTGAGCAAATTGTGAGAAAGATTTAATTGAACTAGAGACTGAAGTTGCCATATCCATATTGGTATAGATCCTCGAATATGGTTACTTGAGAGGTCTAAAGTGGTTATTCTGGAGTTGTTTCTCAAGAAACTAGGGAACTCTGTCTGGTAGCAGGAAGCCAACTCTAAACTGCTAATATTGTGGAAGGAAGATAATTGGCCTACATCTGTAAGATTTGTCTCTACTGACAAGTTGTTGTGTGAAAGGGCCAGTGTAGTTAGATTTTCAAGTCCCTGAAACACATCTAGCTTCAATGTGTCATGTAACTTGTTTAAAGATAGTTTGAGGACATTCAGTGATCTGAGATTAAAAATAGATAGAGGAATGGGCCCTACAAGATCATTACTACTTAAATCAAGGATCTCTAAGACGGAGGATGAGATATTTGAAAATTCATCAAGCTGGCCATGGAAATGGTTGTTGGAAAGTTGAATGCTTTGTACCAATGGAAGTGCAAAAAGAGAAGAAGGGATGTTTCCATCAAGTAAGTTGTCCTGTAAATCAATTTGGACCAGCTCTCTTAGGCCTTCCAAGTGAACATAAGTGATTGAACCTGTGAATTTATTGTGTGATAAGTCTAAATGCGTGAGGTTCCTGGACATATTCAGGGACGGAATTTGACCAGTGAAGTTATTTGACGCCAAGAGCAGAGAAGTGAGTTTCTTTAGTCCTGACATTGAACTGGGTAGTGTTCCGTTAAAATGGCAATTAGAAAGATCTAAGATGGATAACTGCCTAAGATTACCTATAGAAGCTGGCAATGCTCCTGAGAACCTTGTGTGACTCACAATTAATTTCTGAAGGGAACCATTCGGAGGCAATTCAGGCAAAGATCCATTAAGATCATAGTTGAATGACAAGTCTATGTCCGACAATCTTGCCAACTGAAAGATCTTATCAGGAAATATTCCTGTCAATTCACAGGAACTAAGGTGAAGAGTTGTTAAATTTGGAAATTCGGCAAAGGTTTCTGGCACCGGGGATGATAAGTTGTTTTGGTCAAGACGAATGATTGATAGGTTTCGAAGTCTTGTCAGGGAATGATCAAGGGGTCCTGAGAGATTGCAGTTGGACATGCTCAGCTCCTGCAGGCTATGTAGCTGCAACAAAGCATTGCTCCATTCATTTCCCTCGGCCGATACACTTACACCATCCATATACAATTGTCTAATCATGGTGAAGTTTTTGACAAGCATTTGCAGATCTGTTTTTTCAAGTTTCAGCGGTTGCGCAAACATAAAGGAAAGAGAAGAGATATCAAGAGTTACCAACCTTGTCAGGGAAGAAATCTCTGTTGGAATATGGCCCACAAAACCAGCATGAGACAAATTCAGATATGTTAAGTTCTTCAACCTGCTGAATCCAGATGGTATCTGAGAACTGAAGTTATTAACGGACAAATTCAGTATCCTGAGACTTTGCAGGTTGAAAAGAGTACTTGAATTGTCAAATCCACCATTGATTGATTCTCCATTCAGGTCAAGGCCAATAACATGGCCCTCCTTATCACAGGTTACACCTATCCACTTACAGCAATCCGTGCTAGAATTCCAGAATACAAGTTTGTGAGATTTTTCTTGCTCGAATATTAGGCTGTTCTTCAATTTTAGCAATATCTGTTGTTGATCTTCAACAATTTGAGCAGAAACCCCGATGAAATAAACAGTGTGATGTATGCAGAAGGAGTAGCATAATATGATGAAAACGAAAGGACATTGGGAAATTCTCATTGGAGTCTACTGAGAAAGACACACACAATGAACTTAAAAACAAAGGCTGAAGAAGGAAACAGGATAATTAATGATAGCTAATGGACCCCTTGTTTTCCAGTGTTTATCTTCCGATGCAATTTGCCATCGAAATTTCATCAAAAGTCTTCTTAAATGTTATTTTCTAAGTTAGCAGAGCCATACAACTTATATCCAAGACTATTTGATGCAAGTAAGACATTATTCAGGTTTAAATTAAATTTAAACACTCTAACTTTGCAATTTTTTTAATTTGATTTTTCTACAATTTTATTATGCAATGTTGGTTCATTCGTTGTCGTAACATTAAATATTCGAGAAAAATACACAGACGTCAACTTAAATGTATTAATGTTATAGTGCATCGAACTGACAATTACCAAAAACCAGATAATATACAACTATAATTAAACCTTATATTACAGTATGTTCCAACGAACGGTGACTGGAAAAGTTGAGTGAGAAAGTGTAAGATGGTTGGAGAGAGAGTCAAAGCAAACCGCGTCTTCGACAGGGACCACTTTTCTTTTCTTTTCTCTTCTCTCTTTGTTTCTAATTTTCATGAAATTAATTATCCAACCAGAAAACAAAGAAAAACAGCGTTACCATTAATGCATTCACTTTGCAAGACATTTCTTGTCTAAAGACTTTATTGGCAGCTTAGCAGGTAAAATGGAGCTTGAATTATTGGCAAGTTTGTATGAAGAGGTAGCATAAAATCATTTTAGAATTTTCCTACACGTCTGATCATAATAAAATTCCGTTGATTGTACTGAACACGATTGGATTAGATGCAATTTAGGGCAAAGAAAGAGACACGAGAAACATGACACAGTTTTTCACGTCTATATTGGGTTGTTGAATTTTATTTTTCGTGATTTGTGAAAAATAATAGATAAATTTTTGTCATCTACGGATTTCGTCAGTTTCGTTAATTGGAGAATTGAGCATCAGAACTTTAGAGGTCAAATTCTTCTTGACGTAGTCCGTGGGTAAGATTGCTGGTTAGTGATTAAGAATGCAAATGACTTGATATATATAGTTAGCTTTATAAAACTTAACTTCTCTAATCTTTACGTTAAAATTGAAGTTCGATCATGATGCATTTATTTCAAATACTTTTTAGTTTAAACTATTTTTTTATCTTTTTATTTTTAATTTATATTCTAAGCTACTATATTGAAAGACAGTGATAATAAATAAACTAAATTATTCAAATGAATTTTTTTTCCTTAATTAAATAAAGTGTACTAGTTTTTATATTGGATGTGGAACCATCCACAATATACATGTTCATGTGTCTATATTTCAATATATATCATTATTATTAAAACTGTATTTATATATTTATTAAAATATTTATAGTTTATTAGATAATTTGTATATTTACAATTTGTTTTTATATTCTCTTTTACTACATATGTTTTTTATTTTCTCTCAAATTTTCAACTTGATAAAAATTCATAAAGCTCATCTAAATTTCTTTTATGTTTTCTCTCTTATTACAAATTAACTACACATTTTGTTTCTTTTACGTAGTTTTTTTTCAAATGGTGTATTGCATTCCAAGAAACACAAACATCCCCTTCATAGAAACAAATGTTTTATAAAACACATATTTAATTATTTTTACTTTTTTTATATATTTTTATTTTTTATTATTTATTTTTTCATGAGAGTATTTAACTCTCAATTTCAAGTGTTTAATCTCTTAAATCCTTAGTTAACTTAATAACATAACCTATATTTTTTGTCCTCTTTGACTCTAAGTTTTATTACGTTTGATTTTTTTTCTTAAGAATGTTTTATTCTCTTTTAATTTTTCAACTTGTTCAATATGTAAGAGTTTACTCAAATCTTTAAGTTATTTTTCTCTCATCACAACCTTCATTGCTCAATTTTAAATAGTTTTTATAATTTTATTGTAAATAGTTTTTATATATTTTATAAATAGTATTTTATTATAATAATTATTTTAATTTAGAAAATGATTAAATATAAATAAGGATTGAATTAAAAAAAACGTTAAATTAAAAAAAAAATCATTTAAAGGAAAAATTTGGTTAAATAAAAGGTAACATAAAAAAAAATGTGATGAATGTACTTTATATAATAGTATATATTATTATAATTATAAAATTAAGTAAATAATTTTTATAATTTTATTACAAATAGTTTATATTTATTTTTTGGATAGTTTTATAATTAAAAAAACTAGTTAAATTTAAAAAAGTCCGTTAAATAAAAAAAGAAGCAGTTACATTTAAAAAAGCAGTTACTTAAATAATAAAATTTAAAAAATAATGATTTTAATTTAAAGAATAAAATTAGAAAACAAATATATAAACTAAACAAGAATCTCTTTATATAACACATGTTATGCGCTTTTTTATTTATTTTCTGATAATAAAAACGTAATTAACTTATTATTATTAAATAAAATATAAATAATTTTTATAATTTTTTTAAATAGTTTTTATTTATTTTATGAGTAGTTGTCAGAACCAGTAAAATCAAATGTCAGAACCCGTAAAATCCACGCACGTATCGTTCAGTGGAGTTCACGTGTCAAGATGGAGGCTCGACACTCCGATGACGAACGCCAGATGTCAAGCTAAGGAGATCCGGAAAATCAGTTAGTGGAAAGCAGGTGTCGACTGAAGAGGGGACGTTCGTTGTGACGTGTGCAGCAAAACTTGGATTTTCAGAAAATCTGCTCCACTCTCTCTGCATGCACCCTTCTTCTTCCAAAAATCTGATCTTTCATTTTCTCCTTCTTCTCTCTAGAAAACTCTCCCTTCTCTCTACGTTAACTCATCTTTCTCTGCTCCGATCAACGTTCAGGCACCGTAGGAGCATTTCCGGCGTCCCAAGCTTCATCTTGAACCGAACAAGTTTCAAGTTTGAGCTGGTAAGTTTCTCCCCTTAGTCGTTCGTTCTTTTGTTACATGCAAAACCAAGTTCTGGTTGCATGAAGGGGTGTAGTCTAAGTTATTTTGATGTTGTTGGTTTAGTTGGAAGAGTAAAGTGATCGTTGAGGGTAGAAAGCTGTAGTCGGGCAAACCAAGAACCTACATTTAGGACGTTCACTCACGTATCCAGGTAAGGGAAGCTTATTTAATTTAATTGGTATTTGTGTGTTGTCGTACTACATGAACGTTGGTTATTTGACTGAATGGTATTGATGCATGATGGTTAATATGAATGGATTGAATGAACGTTCGTTTATTTAATGAGTGAAAATGAAATATGGCTGAGTTATGTTATAATGTATGAATTATATGAAACTTATATGTTATGGATTGTTGGAGCGTGAAAGTTGAATTTGATATGAATGTATAAAGTATGAAAATATATGTTAGGAAATGAGTTTGAAAAGAAATGATTCTGGTATGAAATTTCTCATATAAAAGTATACGTTCGTTCCTGAACGGTCATTGACCGTTCGGTTCTCCTGGTGAACATAGTTGAAATGTGATTCTTTCATTGGAGAGAATCCTAGTGGAGGACGAGCGTCCTCGTGTTATAATACTATGCTTGAGCGTTCGGCCAAGCACAGTTGTATCTGGGTATCCTTTGATAAACTCAATTTTTATATATATGTGTAATGGTATATTTTCGTCGTTCGTAATTACTACTGCGACAATATCTTATTATATTTATCAAGTCAGTTATTATAAGTTTATTGGTGCTCGGTCTTATACCAAGCGCTCGTACTGAGTGGTGCTCGGTCTTACACCAAGCGCTCGTACTGAGTAGTGCTCGGTCTTACACCAAGCCTCGTTCTCGTTTCTTATATAACCTATATTGATGAAAAACAGCGTTCGTCTAATTTCAATAGAATTTCTTCTCTACCGTGCTCGGTCATTGACTGGCATTCGGATTTCTTGAGGTAAATTCAAATAAGCTAAACATTCATAAACATTTCAGTTTCTTCATATGAATGCTTCTAAGTATTATTAGTGGAATATCTTGAAGTGTCTGTATCGATTGGTTTCAGCATAGAGTCGTAGCCTTTGGCGAGGTCTTTTCAGCGTTCGGTCAGAGTTATCAAGAGTCAGTTCATATAATTGATTCACTTTGTAATGAACGTTCGGTTCGTTCGTTTCTTGCTATATCTATTGCGCTCGGTTTCTCTCTCAAACCGACAGTAAACCTCTCGGTCTTATTCTATTCTGGAACTGGAGACCTATGTGTCTCGTCTCAAGCGTTCATCCTCGTTCTGAGGGAGGATAGAACGTTCGGTATCTGGTGTCTTTATAAACCTTTGAACAAAGATGAAATTTAACTTATTGGCAATGAAAGATGAATGTGAGAAAAGTGATAATGAAATATGGAATTGGGAGTGATTATGAATGAAATAGGAAGAGAATATGATATGAGTGAAATGATGTGAAGTTGAACGAGCGTTCCTGGGAGGAACGACTCATGATGAATATTGAAATTTGTAAAGTATGACTGTGGTTATGCTAGTGCTGGCAGTTCATCCTAATGTTTCGTGAGTACTAGTCCTTACGTAGAGGAGGGTAGGTCATGTGTGGAAACGGCAGGAGGTCCCGTCCTTAGGGGTACTTTGGATGAATAGGATCAACC